TTTTATGGGGAGCACAGACCGAAGGTCCGCCCAAATGGTTAAATCTAAACAAAAGGCTCAGCGGATTAGAATGGTAGCCTCCTTAAGGTGGCCGGAGCCAGGTGAAGAATTTGTTCGTATTTGCAGTTAATCGAATGATGGGGCGAGGGTTTAAGGTTAAGAGTACGAAGGGCATAGTTGGGGGTGTGTTGTTAAGCTGAGTACGGCAGTGCCGTGCCATCATGTGCCTGTCATACTTCGGTTTGTGACAGCCCCATGCCGGACGTCATATTTAAGGTCTGGGCTGCAATGTGTAATTCTTCGGGCAACGAGATTTTTTAAGCTTGGCCAAGGAAATCTGCATAGGTAGAACGAAGCCGGTGTAAGGTTGCAGGTATTTTTGGTCCGTTTGGGGATCCTTTGGATGTAGGTCATAAGCCAGGTGGGGTTGACAACAGCCAACCAGGTCATCCAAACCGGTTATGTTGAAGTTCGAAGCTTGGGAAGATGAGGGAATGGGATGAGATTAGCGAAGCTGTAAAAGGAATACTGACTGGTGGTGGTGCCGGTTTCCAAAAACGACAGCTAATGGATGTTTTAATTACAGGGAAGCAACTTGATTCCAGTAGGCATTACCTGTCATTTTTCGCCCTATGATGACTTATGTGACCTTGAGTTGAGAACGGCAAGCGGGATTCCGAAGTGTCTAAGGTTTTGTTGACCAAGGCTTCACAGTTCCGTGGATCATAAAACAACGGGATGCATATTAGCGACCTGTGGTTTCGGTATTCCTGGCTTTCGGAATGCGTTCGACTCCATTGGCCGGAACATCCTCCTCAACACACTTGCTTAGACAAGAGCGTAATTTGGTCTTTATGTTTCCGGACTTGCAAACGTGAGCTTATGCAAAGAACTATCCAAAACATTTCGTACAAATAGTGGTGTCCTGGGTACCTGCTACCTCCATTTCTACTTTACTTTGTGATCGACGAGGTAGCGAGATGCACCCTGGAAAGTCTTCTAAATGCTAGCACTCAGTTAGCCGTTGACGAAAAACTTGTCGATCTGGAACATCCAGGTGACAGTCCTTGTGTTCGAAGAGAAGTGCGTGAACTGATCAAGGTCCTTTCGTCCATTGGCAGGCGCTTAGTACCCACGAGATGGCTCAGTGGTCAGAGTGCGAAGTTACCGACCGGAAGGTTCATGGTTCTAACCTGACCTCTACCTCTCGACTTCCCCTGTCTAAGCTTGGACATCCTAGAAGCATCCCAGCCTTGGTGCTTCTTTCGGGTGGCATAGAAGCTAGGGACCGTGTGGCGTTACAGCTGAGCGATAATATTTTTATTGTCTGCGTGGCCTAAGTACATTCTGCTGAACACGCCAGTTACAAACCAAGAATCGATACTCGAAATTTTGGAGCATTTTGCGAACCTTGAAAGTCGTCTTGGTTCAGAGTGTAGTGCGACAAATGATATTTAAGAATGGATCTCTGAGAATTGGATCGCGGTTGCTAATTTGCGACATATGTGATGACAATTCGGTTTATTCTCCGGTTTTGCGGTAAGGCTGTGATACTTCGCGTGTGCTAATAGTGGAACTGATGCGTCTTCATGTTTTCGGCAACATACGTAGTGCCGGTTGGCGTCGGCCAATCAAAATGTGGGTAATTAATAAGCGAGTGTTCGGTTGTGCGACGAGGACCTCCATCGAAGAGTGCGTCCAGAGCCAGATTCTGCACTGATTTAAGAAGGGAGACTGGACCCATCACGGAGACTGCATTATCTGCGACCTCTGCGACCCATTTAGATATACTGCGGGGTGTCCTCGCGATACTCCGATTGTCTCCCGTATCAGGCTAGTCAATATTTTGAGGTCTGGCAAACACAGCGTACTGATCCTCCGGGTTTGGCAACTTGTTCCGCAGAAATGGCAATGCGTTTGTATTTCCCGCCAGACACTGCCGCCGTGTGGTTAGGCTTTTGAGTCAGAAACTTCGGTTGAGGACCCTAATAGTCTCATTTTAGGGCGCTCTGATAGCACGTCGGCCCACAAACAACCATCATGTCTACGTGTTGTGACTTGCTGAACGGTTGTGCAACTCCGAATCGGTCCGTTGGCTCCCTGCTTCGCCCGCTAATATCATAAGACGCAGTAGCTTCAGACAGTTATTTCGGGAGGCAAACGTGTAATATCAATACTGCATTTCTGGGATAATTACAGAATGTTCCACAAGGTCGCGCTAGAATACCCGTGGTGGGCACGGACGTCGAGATAAAAATGCTCCATCCAGAATGGCTGGTATTCTGACCAATCAGGACATGCCTTCGTTTGTTTCGTAGCCTGCAAGTGATATCCGTCCCAATAATGTGATGTTTGGTTATTAGGAAGACTGACCTCCGGACGCTACGCCTAACTGTAAACTGACGCCACATCGGACGTCGCGTGGTGCCATCAGCTGCATACAGCAGGGAGAGCAATTTAAAACAGGCTACTGCTGACGCCTATGCTTTCTTTACATAGTTTTCTTCCCCCGCTCTTCACCTAATTAATACCTCTCTCATCGTAGGCTCAGCAGTTAGGACTGATGATTTCGTTAGTCTTGTATTGGTTTTGCGTGTGATATTTGCCTTCAATATTTGCAGTCTGAACCAAGCAGGAAAACAAGCTGCTCTTGGTCTCACACTGGACTCGCTTGGCATTGATGTTTGCAATGTCTACCAAGAAAGAATTCAAGGCGAGCTAACCGCAACATCACTCTCCTGTCTCTTGAGCAACGCAGAGTAGTGGATGCAGAGAGGTGGCCAACCCTTGATCTGGCAGAGGGGTATGAAGGAGACTACAAGACATTTGGGTGCTGTCGTTGCTACGCGCCTCCCAAGATTGGGACCGGGTGGTGCCCACTGCGCCTGGTTGGATACGCTGCAAGATATGGCTTCCAACCGTTGTCAGTGACGTTCTTTTTGTCACTTTCTATCCAGATTGACCGAATGAGTGGATGTGTAGGCACCTCGGATCGGCTGAAATAACCTTCGGGCATTTTCAGCGTACCGGTCCTATGGGCTTTGTCCGTTCACCACACTTCACGGTTGGCTCGCACGCTCACTTTCATTTGACGTCCGATAACTCGTCGCATCAAGTTATGTTTAGGACCGGCTGGGAAATTTCTTCGAGATTCAAGTAGTTCGCTGTGATATCCAGTGCTTGAGTGCTCCTGGTGGTGCCGCGCCACAGGCGAAATTGTCAATGTTGTGCATAAAAACAGCCTACGATTAGCACACATTTAAAGCAATCGTACTTGCTGAGTCCGATCCGTATCGACCTCCTAACTGAGTCTCAGCTACACTAAGTCTGCGCACTTGTGCATCCACATCGCCGGCAACCATCACAATATCTGAGATCTTAGCTTGCCACAACAGAGCATTCATGGCATTGTAAAACCTGTCTTTGACAGCGTCGGAGCTACAGTAAGTTGGGGCGTAAGCAAACACGATGAACGGACATCGAATAACTTCCCGCTTGTGAGACTCATTCCTTGCCAAACGAATCGCATAGAGGCGAGTATGAATATGTATCCAGTCAAGCTGGGATACTTCCACCCAGTGACTTAGGACGATATCAACCCCTGTGCGTCCCTCCGCAACAACCTATGCATCGCCAGAGGTGCGCAGCCGGAAGCGACTGGAGATTGATGGAGTGGTTAACTCAACCAATGTGCTTGCATCTTGAATTCTTGTTTCTGGGACACTCCACACAACAATGCCAGGGGAGTCCATTGTGAGAGCAAGAGTAGCTTTTTATCCTGCTTGATTCAGATCGCGGACATTAAAGGCGGCCAGATAAACTGGGCACCGAGGCTTGGAGATGAAAGGGAAGGAAGAGGAAGTGGGTAAGCTGTAGGTGGGAAGGACTGCAAAACACAGTTGCTCGGATGAGCGAACGTTCCTGCTTTGGTCCATAGTCATGCGTAGTTCTCATGTTCAGCAGATATATACGCGCATAAGGAGCTAAAAGCTCGTAGAATCGGGTTGTTAGAACTGGTATTCGAACCCAAACTTAACTGACGACTGAAGCGGGAGAGAACATTCGAGCCCTGTCACCGCTAGTAGCCAGACTGACCGGCTCGTTAATGGATACTAGCTGAAAGGAGAAAGGGAAACGTAGCAACGAAGGTTACCTCAAGTGGACGACGAAAAGCATCCCTACCGAGTAAGAGACCGTGATATCTCGGTATTTAGTAACAAAGGAATGTGGATCCAGTGGAGGCTCTTAAGGCTGCTCCTCGGTGTTCATGACAGCTCAATACAGGGTTGCAGTTCCTATGAGAACGAGATGCTCAGTGGTTTGATCACCGATTTACTGATCGGAAAGTCCGTGGTCCGAACCCGACATATGCATTTTGATTTCCTCTGTCTAGGCTTAGAAAACCCAGCAGTACCGCAGCCCTCGTGCCTCCTTCGTGTGGCATGGCAGCTAGGCACCGAAAGGGTGCCACAGCTGAACGATTTATATTATATTATAAGATCAAAGAAACTCTCCAAGTCTATTATGGGCTTATCAGGCATAGTGCCTGAATTCCCTTCAATGTTACTTCTGTTTGAATACCAAATAGGGTATACGTAGGGTTTGACACTCATTTGCAGTCCACATGAGGCTTAAACGAGACTCACTCGAATTTTTCGTTCATGGTATTCTTTAAACGATGTGCTGTACTAGGGTTGTTTTACGTTTCAGTTGGACCGATAAACGAGTTTTCCAAGTGTCCCTTGCTACGACGTTGCCTGTAGCGTTGACGAATACTGCTTCTCAGCTCATTGCCAGTTTTGCTTTTTGGGGGCTGTCATCAAGCAAGCTGATTTCCTAAGTTTCCGCGTGCCTTATTTCGGATTTATTCCACCATGGAAATCTGCAAATAGGTATATATTGTCCCCCACCTGCCGCATTTCCCACATTTTTTTCCAGATACCATGTATGAACTCGATCGGATTATCCAGCCAATCCAAAACATCGTGCACACGCATGGAATGTACGAGGTTGATCGGTACTGGAAACCCGCTTTCGGTTTCGACAGATCCTCTTTGGACGAACAGACAAAGTCACTTGTCTTGCGTTTAGACTCTTTGGATGCTTCTGTTTCTCATCTCCTGGGACTACTCCAGACTGGTGCCAAAGCCAAACCGAAAAAGCCAACGCAAGCCCCGACAAAAACACCGCAATACGTTTCAACCCAACCAGCGTGTGCCCAGACTGCTGCTTCAGGCCATCATATCAAGATATTGTCTACTTCCTCCTTGGCTGTCCAGGCCAATCCAGACAGACCACCAGTAGCTGCTTTATTGTTTTGTCACGCTTTAGCCGCTCATGGCTGCAGCGTTGTCGTGCCCTCCTATGTTCACTCTAGTGTGGGTCAGCTTCCCTCGAACCTCACAAGTCTCCTCGAAGCCCTAACTCCTAAAACGTCATGTCTATCCAATCATTCGTTAACCCTTAGAATCGTTTGGACTCGCTCGCATCCGGACTGCACAACGTACCTCGACATCAATTCAACCATGCTTCACGGGGAGGTAATGCTTCTTCTGAAGTTAGCTGATGTGATTTCAGAGCCGGATGCTTCAGAACAAAGCGAACTTTTGATGTTAATTGACGCACTGCATAGAGATACAGGCCCGACAACTATTTTGAAACAACTCGCTCAAAAGCCTCATTTCCAGAGTCTGAATCGAAACCTCCCGAGTGTTCCAGACTGCTTCCTCTATGTTACCCTCGAGCAGCTGAATCTTTTCACCTGTCTCCCATCGGCACTCACTCATTGGTTGAAGTTTTGTTCAAAATATGAATCATTTGCCTTACTGGGTCGAAATTGGAGTAAATAAATTCCAACATTTTGGCTAGGATAGTCCTACTTCTGGGTCACCTTTTGGGGAATTCAACCAAATTTAAATGCTTCACCCTAAGCTTTGCCCTTTTGTGCCTGAGCAGTTTTAGGTGACTGGAAAATCTACTCCCACCTGACTATAATTGCCGTGTTGAAGACATCAAAGATAGGATGAAAATTCCATCTAGGACACTTATTTACGATGCGTAGTCTGATTTTATTTGCTTGATATGGCTCGAATCTCAAGGTGGCTCAGTGATAAAGATCCGAGCTTACTAACCGGGTGGTCCGTGATTCGAATCTAACTTCAGCATTTCAGTTGCTGTTGTCTAAGTTTGGGCAACCTGGCCGTATCCCAGCCATCGTACTTCCTTTGAGTTGCATGGAGGCTAGGCTAGCTGGACGATTATTATTTTGCATTCCGGTGTGGGTGTTCGACATTAATAGTCTCAGAGCCACAGTTCGTGTGGGTTGGTGTCGGAGAATCCGTAGCGAAGCCTTCGGCAAACGAGTGTTCGGTTATCCAATGGAGACCTCCATCGAAGAATATGTCCAGCACCAGAAGATGCGTTGGTTAGACCATGTATAGCGCATGCCGAGACGTAGTTTGCCGAAGAGAGTGCTGTTTTCTGTATCGAATTCAGAGTTGTGGAAGCAGAGAGGTGATCGGCCCTTGACATGGCAGAGGGATGTGGAAGAGATTACAAGAAGTCTGAGAGCTGTCTGTGCTGCTCGTCTTCCAGGACGGCGACCGGGTGATGCTCACTGCGCCTGGTTGGAAACATTGCAATGTATGACTAACAATGAATGCTTATAGCTTGTTGTTGTTGTTGTCAGTTTCTCTACAGATAGCCTGAATAATTGTCTGGAGGTTTAGGTTCAGATTAATTGTAGGCCAGTACGAGTTACTTTTCCGTCAACCTTTATTCCTTTTCAGAAAAAAAGCTCAACTAAATCATGTCTCTACGGCAGCGAAGCCTCAGTGTTAAACACTGATTTCATGCTGTTGTTGTTGTAGTTGATGTTGATGAATGCCGTAGGCTGACATGCTGGAAATCCGAGAAACACATCACGGCTGTAGCATCTCTGGCGGACGTGCGAGTTTTAAGGGACGCTCCGGATATTAGTTGAACGTTACCTCAACTCAATTGACCAAAATTTGGCTATTTGTCTGTACAGGCCAAAAGGTAAAACAAGTTTAAGATAGTATTTATGAAATTGTATGGTACTGTCAGATTTCACCATCGACGCATTCATAGAAGAATCCAGAGTATCCGTTTGATCCGATGATCCGTATCCGATGATCTACGACAATGAAGTAATCGCATGCGTTATCCGCCGAAAGTGCAGCCTTTAGAATAATCTAAACGATCTTTTGTAGAGAACGGTTCCAGCTTACTTGAGTACATAATACCACTTCTCAGTTAGGACTCTGGAAATGTCAGACAGCTTCGGTTGATTATAGGTGGTTGCGGGATTTGTGGAATCCACACTCACGTCACCATCGTTCAAAAGTGCTCCTACTGTTCTGGCGCACTTATCTGGTGAAACCACACCAAAGGGAGGAAGTATCCGATTCGAGTTCTATCCTCATTAGGGCTCATCAGCAGTGCCTATCCTTGACCGTGATGGGGTTTTAACTCCGGAGATCTGACACCTAAGGCGAAAGTGCTACTACCAAACCGACACAAGCTGGAAACACTTGAAGGACCACGTCCGAATAGGCGAACATGTTCACGCTTAAGCGATTTAATTGGTTTGCCAGACGACCCAATAATCATCCTGAGAGTAGTCATCATCATTGTCAGCTGTAAGAACCGCGTACTTATCGTACAGCGGTTGTAGCTGCCACAGTTTCGTTTGCGAATGATTTGGGGAGGTGGGGTAGGTAGCTGCGCATTGAAAGCGGGAGCTATAAATTGGTACGCAGATACAGCACTGTCAGTGGACTGTTAGTTTGGGGAATTGGGAACGGGGCCATACATTGAAGACAATAGCTTGGGCGCATGAGCGCTAATGAGAGTGCGACAGTGTCTCTGACCATTGATGTGGCCCGTCTCGGGGTCCCCATCTAGGAAGACGGCAATGACCAGCGTCTCTGAGTTTGCCGGTAATGGCTTATATACTTCGCTGCCAAGTCATTGACTGCCTCTGGCTCTTCCACCCTTCACGTGGTTATGCGAAAAGTGTCCTTCGAGGAAGTCGGTCGACTAGCATACGCAGCACGTGGTCAAGCCAGCACAACCTATGCAGTGTGATCGACGGTGAACACCGGCTAAGTCTTCGGGCAATGCTCCGAAGACACTGATGGTCAAACACTGAGTCTTTTGACATCCTTAGTGCGCACCGGCCAGGTTTCTGATTCGTATAATAATATGGAGCACAACACAGCTTGTAAATTAGATCCTCGCCGGTTAAGCTGATGTCACGCCTATACCACAGGTGACGCAGGTTAACAAAAGCTGCTCTGGCCTTCCCAACCCGGATGGAAATATAATCTTTCATGAGACCACCGGGACTGATACGGCTGCCCAGGTAAACAAATGCGTCTAATACCACAATCGGTTCATCCGCAAGCATGAGGCTAGGGTTCGATCCCACCTAGTCTTACAGTAGCACTTTTCACTTTGCAGGTGTGAAGCGCATACCAAACCGCGGGACAGAATCATTTAGATTATTTAATATTGTTTGAATTACCACAGGGTCAGATCCAAAAAGAGCTGGGTCGTCTGTGTACTTGATATCAATGAGTGGACGCTCCGGGAGCACCTCGACTCCACAGGCATTAAAAACGATAGTGAGTCTTCCGTGGTCGTATCAATGACGTTAAAGAAGAATTTGAACAGGAAAGGTGAAAGCGGACAGCCCTGTCTGACACCACTTGCTGTAATGAACTCAGGAGAGAGCTTGCCGTAGACCTTCATACGGCCGTGGGAGTTGGCGAACATCGCCTTAAGGAGGGTCAAGAATTTATGGGGGACACCTTTACTCCACAGACACTGCAATAGTGCCTGATGGTCCACAGAGTCAAAGGTAGCTTTCAGGTCAAGAAACACAACCATTGTTTGTTGCTGGAAGCAGGGTTGCTGTTAAGGAATCTGTCGCAGAGTGAACATATGGTCGATGCGTCCTCTTGCAGGACAGAAACAAGCTTGTTTTTTTCACGGAATTTGTCTCTCCCTGTATTCAGTCAACCTTCGAATGATAGGGCCAGAGAGCACCTTCGATGCCACAACTAGCAGACTAACTAACAGTTTATCACACAGCGTACGGGTACTCTTTTTGGAGATAATGATAACTGCAGGCACCATTTCTTCGTTCCATATAGCATCAACCATGGGTCACCAGAGATCCTCAGCCTTCCTTGAAAATGGCTGGATACAGGCTGTCTAGTCCTGGTGACTTTTCAAGTTTCAGTACGGACTGAGACTAAGAGACTGGACCTTACCGTGGTGTGGCGGTTTGGGTACCTCGGTGACCCATTGAGCTATACTGGGGAGTGTTCGCACGATGCTCACAGAATCTCTCATACCAGGCTGGTCCATGGGTAGAGGTCCGACAAACATAGACTCTTGGCCCTCCAGGTTGGGGGTTGGAGCATTTATGGCGACGTGGTAATGTACTCGCATTTCCAGCCGAACACCGCTGCCTTGCGGTTAGGCTTTTGAGCCAAAGGCCTTGGTTGAGGACCCTAATCGTCCTCCTGTCTAGGTAGTACCCATTTTCAAAAAGGGTACTCGCAGTGAATGTAGCAACCACAGAGGTGTTAGTTTGACGCCTGTTGTGACAAGGCTTCTGGCGTCATTGATTCTTCGTCGTCTTATAGCGGCACGAGAAGTCTTGACTCGTGAGAATCAAGCAAAATTTCGACCGGGTAGAGGCTGCGTTGACCACATCTTCACACTCCGTCAGGTGTTAGAGCAACGGCAGATGTACAGACGACCCACAATCCTGGTATTCCTCGAATTCAAGGGTGCGTTCGATTCTGTTGATCGATCAGTTGTGCTAACTACACTTGCTAAACAGGGTATGCCCCAGAAGTTTGTAAACAGAATCCGATCCCTATATTCACATACTTCTGGGTGGGTGAGGGTGTATGGTGAGCTCTCCAAAAGCTTCCCTACAAAAAGTGGTACATGGATGTCCACTCTCCTCATTCTTGTTCAACTTCGTCATCGATGAAATAATGAGGCGACCACTGGACGGTTTTCTAAACCCCGGTGTTCAAATTGTTGCTGGTGAGGGCCTTGTCGATCTGGAGTACGCAGATGACATCGCCTTCATCTTTGAAGACCACAGCGAAGCACAAGCCCTGTTGAATAGACTGACCGCCACCATACCATCTTTTGGCATGCGCCTTGCACCTTCAAAGTGCAAAGTCCTGCTTCAGAACGTGCCATCTGCGAACATATCCCTTACAGTTCAAGGAGAACCACTGGAGATTGTGGAAAACTTTACATACCTCGGTAGTTGTATTAGCTCTGACGGAAGCGTGTCTGATGAAGTCAGTGCAAGAATCTCAAAGGCTCGAATCACGTTTGCTAATTTGCGTCACTTGTGGCGTTAAAAAGGCATCTCACTGGGTCTTAAGGGTCGTGTGTACCAGGCTACAGTAAGGGCTGTGTTGTTGTATGGGTGCGAGACATGGCCTCTGCGGACAGATGATGTGAGGCGTCTTCAGCTTCTCGACCACCGATGCCTCAGAAGCGTGGCTGGTT